AAAGAAGCAGTGCAGCTTCTGAAGTCACTTCGACCTTCTGTCAAGGCTCTTTGTATGCGCTCAGTCCACCCCACAGATGGAGCAGGAAGAGCCGGAAGAGCACTTCTGGATGGTGGAGCCACCCACATCTTGAGGCCAGCAGTCTCCAAGGTTGAGTTGGCGGCCGGGGTCACCACCCTCGGACAAGTGGAGTCGACAGGAACCCTCATCACCGACTTTGACACTCAGACGATCGTGCCGCTAGGCAAAGTGGTGAGGCTTGGATATAAGGTGAAGTGGGAGGGTGACTCCTTTGAGCTATGGGACCAGTCTGGAGGACGGGTGAAAGTTGTTTTGGAGTCGGGATGCCCTATACAGTTGACATCAAGTTGGCCAACCGACTGATTAAGGAGTTGGAGAACTTCGAGGCGGACTTGTCCCGCCGTGTGGCAGCTCTCAGGGCTGGAAATCCCGGTGACCTGGCACCGAATGTGTGGAAGTGGTTAACTTGAGAGAAATGTGGCCCGAGGTGCCGGATGAGCTTATTGCAAGAGTGGTGCCAACGGGCAGGTGGACCAGTGATGCTGCCCCGTTCAATCGAAGACAAAGACAGAGGGTGGCATCATCTTCTTCGGTGATTCTCCACCTGTTTTCAGGGCCGGATCAGTCTTGGTGGAAAAAGAGATTGGATTCCAACTCTCGCGTGGTGCTCTGTATTGACAAGTCGGCCGACTCCAACCAGGATCTATTGTCGGATCAACTTACGAGCTTTCTGGCAGAGGTCTGTGAGAGAGGGGTGGTTGATGTCATCTTGGGTGGCCCTCCGTGCAGAACGGTCTCGAAGGCTGGGGACACGGCGGTGGTGTGAAGCTCGTGGCATCTATCGGACCTTCAATAGTGGCAGTGACTGGAATCAACGGTCGTGCAGAGGCTGAGGTGGGAGTGATCCGCCGGGGAATCAACACGTTGATCCGTTCTTCGGGAGAAGGTGAGGAGTTGTGGCCGTTGGTGGCAAAACATGTGGGAGAGTGACGTGGCAGACTTCAGCTACAAGCATTGGGCTTCTCTACACCAAGCCTGTTGCCCTGGGGAAGAAAAGTCATGGTCACCACGAAAGGATGGAAGAAGCCGGGGGTTGTTCGAGGTCCAGACCGCGAAATGAGCCTCACTAGTGGAGGACATGTGGTGCAGATTTGACGGGGGCAAACTAGTGAGGACTGATGACCTCATTCAGGCGGAAGATCCACCTTCGTTGGAGGATGTGGTGAACGTCAAGGAGAGACCAGAGCCCGCAAGCATCCTAGATGGGGCAGTGATTCCTAAGAGAAGGCTGCATGAAAAGACGTCTCTGTCTAGGCTCTCAGTTCAGGAACTACAAGACCGACTCCTACGAGGGCAAGCTTGGGCGAATGAGGAGTTCAGCCGATTGGAGTCAAACCTCGAGGACGAAGACGGGGGTGTCACCTATATATATGACTTGGACTGTGAGAACAACAAGATTGAAAACCTAGCGCAAGAACATGCGGTCTCCTGCAAACGGTTGGAAGTAGACCCAACCAAGGAACCAGGTGAAGACGAGGAGCTTTTCCTCCAGACTCGCACCATCAGTTTAAAGCAGGCAGGTTCGGAAGACTCTTCCACTCTGGATTCCGTCGCTCAAGACAGAGATAGACAACTTCGATAACAACCAGGCCATCCAGAGGATTGACGAGGTCCAGACCCGCAAGATCTTGGAGGCAGCCAAGGAGAAGGGTGAAAGGGCGGAGCTAATCCCAGGAATGGGTGTCTTCACTCGAAAAGCTGGTGACGGTCGAAGGAGATCTAGGATCGTCTGCTGTGGCAACCACATGGAAGCTCGAGCAGGAGATGAAGTGTACGCCACAGGTGCGGACTCCACCCAGTTGAGAACTTTGCTAAGGTTGGCAGCTCTTCAACAGTGGGATTGCCTTTTGCATCCTTTTGCTGGACGTGAAGTCGGCTTTCCTTTTAGCTCCAAAGGCACAAGGGGAGACGGTGATCGTCAAACCTCCGAAGATCCTGGAGGAAGCGAAGCTGGCACAACCTGGGAGCATTGGTTGGTCACCTCAGCGATGCACGGGCTGGTCACGTCTCCGAAGGACTGGAGTTCCTTTCGGGATTGAGAGCTCTGGGCGGAGTCGGAGAAGGAAAAGACGAAGGAGTTCTTTTTCAGGCCAATGGAAGACCCGAACTTGTGGGCGATTCAAGAATTGGTCACCATGAATGAGGATGGATCCAAAGAGTGGGGGCAGGTGCTAGGCCATATGATTGTGTATGTCGATGGCGTGCTTATGGTGGCACCAAGGGAGATCACAGAAGCCGCTTCGAGCTCTATCCGAAAGGTATGGTCCACTTCTGCACCAGAGTATGCCATCGTTGGAGGAAGCCCTATGAGATTTCTGGGTATAGAGGCTCCAAGACGGCTCTTATTTTCTCCACCAAGAGTGCTATGCTCGTGAATTAAGCGACATCCAGGAGGCTCTGCTGCCACATTCATCAAGGTTCCAGATGCGAAGTCAGAGGAAGAGTCTGTGTCCCTGCCGAAGGTTCGAGAGGCACAAAAGATCACGGGTGAACTCCTCTGGTTATCAGGCAAAACACGCCCGGATTTGACGTGGGCGGTCATGAAAATGGCGCAAAATGCGGTGAAGAAACCAAGATGGACAGTGGAACTCGGGGGTGCAGCGCTCGCCTACTTAAGGTCTTCGCTGGACTTTGGGCTCCGATATACCAACAAATTGCCCGTGGATTCAGATCCTGATCTACAACGTGGTCAACCCAGGCACGCTGGGACGCTCGAGGTCCTAGTGGATGCCTCTTTTTCTCCTGGGGGATGGTCACAGTGTGTCAGGAACGGTCATTCTCTTTGCTGGCTGTCCAATCCAGTGGGAAAGCAGACGACAAACTCTCGTGGCCCTTTCCACGGCTGAGGCCGAGCTTACTGCACTAGTAGCAGGCCTGCAAACAGGAAGATCAGTCCGAGCTCTGTTGGAGTTGCTGGTTGCTGACGTGGACCTCGAGATCTACGATGACAACCGCGCGGCTGTTGTGCTAGCATCGGGCTCAGGTGGGGGATGGAGGACAAGACATCTCCGGATTCGTGCAAGCGGCTTAGCTGAAGCGTTGAAGGGTGGTGAGGTGTCTCTGAACCACCGGATGGGATCTTCGTTATGGGCAGATGCAATGACCAAGCCACTTCCAACCCAGTCTTTGCGCCGCTTCTGTCGAGGTGTGTGGTTGGGAAGCCCGTTAAAAGTATTGAGCCACAAGGGGGGGCAAGGAGAAGTACAAGAGATGGTGACTCCAGGAGGTGTTCAAATGCTTAAGTCCTTGTCCTTGTCGGCAATTGGGGCGTCCCTTCTTCCTAGTGCGGATGCAGTGGAGACGCATGAGACAAAGGTGACCGGGGGGGATGGTGAGTCAAGCTCCTGGGCTGATCAGGGATGGTTACTGTTGTTGGCGGGCTTGGTATGTCTGCTTCACATCATCAAGGATTTGGGCTGGGAGTTGGCGAAACGTCTTCTTGGCCAAAGAGACCACCTCAAAGTCAAGTTGTTGGATGATAAGCCTCTGTTGGGGATTGCTTTGGAATGTCCAACAGGTTGTTGCGGGAGAATTGCACCAAGGAGTTCTTTGGCTTTGCGTGGCATTGACATCGGAGGAGGTGTAATCGATCCTGATTTCAGGGGCGAAGTGAAAGTCATCCTGGTGAATAATGGAAATGAACCTTTCACGATCAATCCAGGTGATCGTATTGGTCAGTTGGTTTTGGAGAAGTTCCAGAAGACCGAGATCATGTGTTCAGGCTCCTTGTCCAATACACAGAGAGGCTTTGGAAGCTCAGGGGTGGCAGCCAAACACCTCTCCAAGTCCTGCTCAGAACCTCGAGAGGACTTCATCGCGGAGCACCAGGAGGGTGTGGAGGCTGTCGAAGAGAAGGTTACATGCAGCTGAGCCATGTGTTCTTTGATGGGGTCCACTTGGCCAGGTCTGGGGAATCTATGCAAGAGCTGATCGGGAGGCTGAAGAGACATGAGCTGCGAGGGTTCAGGTGGATGTACCATGGAGGTTGTCCGGTTGCAGTTCATGCACCAGTCACCGAGGACATTTCGACAAGAAGTTCCGCAAGGATCAATAGAGATCACGATGCACAAACACCCGTCTATGAGAAAGAAGCTCTATATGACTCTGAAGCATCAGCCCCACCACCAAAAGATGGCATCACGGCCGGAGTTGTCACCCTTGGCTGGTTTGAAGATGGCACCATTTTTTGTGAGGGCTGACAACCGAAGAGGCAGTCGTTCAATGTGCTATCTTCGGCAGCAGTGGAAGGGTGTGAGTCTCTTTTTCTCGTGGCACAGTGCACTGGGGAGCTCCCGGTGAGAGCGAGATCCGGAGAACAAGGGTGGCCCGCTGAGGAAGCCAAGTGTTTTGTGTGGTGATTCTTTTGGGTCCTACTCACTCAGTGGGGAGTGAAATGTGGATCTCTGTGTTCGCGCTTTGTTTTTAGATTTCCAAGGCTTAGAGTCACCGTTCAGTGCCTAGTACAGAGGGCTTGAGTCTAGTTTTTCTTCATGGAGTGCCGTGTATCTCCTTCCTTTAGAGCCCGATCGAATCGGGAAGGGGGAGCATGAAGTCAACCACGGCGTGTCACATAGCACAAACTTTGAGACTTGGGCATATCTCTGCAGCCCTTTTGTTGCGAGAAAAGATCAAGCTTTTTTTAGCTGCGCGATAATGATTTGACGGAGCCGAAAAGTCACAAATATATAATGCAAGGCCATCATGTGCACTTCTAGGTTGTCTTGCAGGACTGAGCAGAAAGATTCACCTCTGTGTGTGTGTTCGCTTTATGAAGATGCACAGTCTCACCAATGTGTGCCAGCAATTGCAATAATACAATGCGGGAATTTGCCTTTTTGTACGCATGCCTGACTTTGTGTTCTTTGTGATCGTTTCCATAACGGTCTTATGCATTGCTTTGATTGGCAGCGCTGGCCAAGGTGTAGCTTTGCTCGCAGAAGAAATGGCAAACCAGAAACGATATGTAGTGGACTACAAAGACAACCCAACAGCACGGCAAGCTCGCAACGATTTCATCTATGGGAGATTGGATGCCGATACCGCTACGATGTTCGAGGCCATGCTGCTGTAAGCCTAAAGGGCCCTATGACATTGGTTTGACATGGTTTGACTAGATGGAAATATTTTTGGACAGCGTCGGGCGTTTGAGAGGGAAGCTTGCAGGATTTCAATCAGAAGTTGGCAGCACATGTGCATTTGCTTGAGAACCTTCACTTCCTGGCCCTTCTGATCCCTGGCAAATTTAGTGTCACTATGTCGTCCGTCCGCTTGGCTGCACGCTCACTGTGTCGAGCCCAGGTTCCTAAAGATTTTTGTTGGCAGATGCCTACAGCTTTGGATCCAAGCATCTTTCTTGGCCATGGCATTTCATTCAGAGGGTGCTGGAGCAAAAGACAAGGCAAGGAAGCTGAGAACAGTTTGCATAGTTTGCCATGCCTTGTTTTTTTGGAATCATGGAGCTTTGGTGCAGGTTGTTGTTGCGTGCCTTTTGAGTTCACTCATTCTGCTCCATCGTGCAGCCCATGGCATGAAGACCCTGGGCTGCACAGGCAGGCGTTCACAAGCACCAAATCTAACATGCAACCTTGTTTCTCATGTGTCCAAATCCAGGAGGAAACGTAGGGAACTCAACAATGGCCCAAGAGTAACGGAGACGGAGCGTGTATGGTGAACAAGGGATTGCCACAGATTAAGAAAACGTCAAATCCTTTGTTTATATAAGTATATGGATGATATCCAACTATATACTGTAATGGACCCAATAGCCACTATGACTATAAGAGAGTCTTTTTACGTTATTTTGCTCCCGGAGGGTAACTTCGCATCCGGTTTTGAGGTTGCAACTAAACGAGTGAATTTGATCGCACAGCTGCGGAGGCCTTCCTGTTTTGGTATTAATCATTGGCTGGGTGGTTTGGTCGGGGGCCAAAGTTGCTTTCGCGTTCATTTGCGATGATCACCTCTGGAATCTTACAACTGGCTGCGTGAAGCGCAGTGATGTGCATGGATAGCGGCGCACGCTTTCACTTCTATCGAGCATTTGCCATCACAAAGCCTGTGTCTGGCGGAAACTTGCTCAGAAAAAAGAGCCAAGTCTCAGTTTGAACGTGTGTTAACACCCTGTGTTGGACAAAGCTAGCCAAAGGTCGTACCAAGCACCAATCACACCGAACAGGCGCTTGCCTTTACCTTGTGGAAGAAGTCCCAATTCAAAGACTCCATCAAACTCTTCCACGAGATCGAGGCCGTTCTTTCTCTTCTTCGGCGTTGGCTCATGTTTGACACGTTGCCAGGATCTCATCGGGTCCAGCGCAGCGCTTTGTGAAAACATGGGGCATACATATAGCTCCATGGGAAACTATGATGAGGCCCGATTCGGAAGTCCGCGGTGGCTCGAAACTGCACAAACTGTTGAAACGAGGCTGCGAAGTATTTCCAACGTGCTCTCCGTTGTTTGGACGAAGAAGAGAAGTTGGGCAAGAAGACGGGCGACAGAGCAGGACACCGCGTGTTTTTTGGAAAGAACGTCACAAAACTCCAGAAAGCCAAGACACTCAGGATTTAATCTCTTCTCCTTCATGTGATATCCGGGAAAGTGCAAGGTGTCCAAGGTTCACTTCAGAAGAGTTCTTGTTGAAGAGCTGGTGATGGGAGGTTTGGGTCTGTGCGAGCTCAATGTCACCAGTCATCTCGAGATTGAATTTGGCACATGGGCTGGACACTACTTTTGCACATGCCCCTCAAAATGTCGAAGCACTCGGAATTCCAACAGCGTTCCTTTGCTAGCTTAGCAGGGTTCTCCCCAATGAAGAGCAAGCATGGGCGTGCTGCGGTCGCTTCTTACTCATTTCAAGGGTGGGGGAGATCGAATCGAGGGATAAGGCATCAATAATTAGGCTGCTCACAAAGACCTAGATATCCAAATTCCATCAAATGCCATTGCTTCCCAGCATATTCATGTTATACATATCTATATATATATATGTTGATGTGCAAACCTTGCCAGGAATTCTCTTAGGACTTGGCTTGATCGAAGATCGCTTGGGCCGATTTGAAGAGGTGGATCTGCACAGCTATATGGTTTGGATTCATTAGATTTCACATTTACACCTTTGTCACAGGCACTTGCTTCCGTTCGTGAATCTCAGGCAGCTCACTTACATGCTGCTTGAAGACTTCGCCTGCATTTTCCTGTTTCCAAAGACTGTGGTCCCCTGTTTCAGGATCTTTTTCGACAGCGAGCCAACGGCAAGTCGGCTGCCCTAGCCCCTACACAGCCCTGGAATTAAGTTGAGCTTTGCAACCAATCAAAGTGCAGTAATCGGACATGATTCGCGCCCTGCACATCAATCTTGTCAGCAGGTGCTTTTACATGCTTTTACGTTCCTCGTCGAAATGATTGCTCAGACACCAGCTCAATCTCACTGGGACATAAGGTCAACTCAACCCCATCTCAACACGCAGCTCAATTCAACCAGCTGTTCCGAAATTCTGCAGGCCAGGCTGCCAACGTTCCAAGGTTGGTCAAAGTCTGATCCAGCATTCAGCCCTAAACTGGCTCGGCTTGGCTTTCAAAGTTCGAGAGCCTGAGGGCCTGAGGGCTTCAATTTTGCAAGCGAGCCAAAGTGGAAACATTAAGCTGTGGCAAAGCTCAGACATCTCAAGACTCAGAACCAGCAACCTGGACATGCGAAAAGTCTTGCAGCTCGAGGGTTGGTGCTATATTTTCAGTGATGAGAATTGTCTTAGTGTGACCCTTTCCAAATGTAGGATCCCTTGACCTCGTCACTTTTCATGACTCTTCCAGGTTGCCATATTGCATAGCCAATTGATCTCCTGAGCAAGTCCATTTCGCTTTGGTTTGGTGGGTTCAATCACGTCCGGTCCGCACCAGTCAGGACCTGGCAGGGCCATGCCTTTGAATAGAGCATGAGCTTTTCTACTCCTCACAGATCCTCACAGCATTGATCACTCTATGCTTGAGGAAGCAGCGAACCGACAGTCCGCAAGACTATACTTTCAGTGACGCGCATGTCACCACTATCCTTGTCTTGGGACTTAGAGACTGAAAGCCAATACTTCAATAGTTGCCTGCTTTTTAAGCATGCTATTCTGGTGATTTGAACTACGACAAGATCAAGGCACAATCAGGGAGCTTAATGCGCCTTGCTGTGAACTATTGTATTTAGACCTTGATAATTTCAGGGGAGCCATTGTTGCATGAAGACAAGTGATAGAACCTTTGCATCATTTAACGCTTACACAGATCAAAATGATCAAAGTCAAAGTGAAGGTCAGCTGGCCTGGCTTGAGGTGTGTCAATGTGTGGGCTGGAACGTCCAGGTTCCAAAAAGTGTATTTTCTAACTGTGTACTATTGGCAACCCTTACTGTTTTATGACTTGTGCTTCCAAGCTCGACCACTTCAGTTGTCCAGTCCAGCATCCTAACTCCAAATGTTTTTTGTGTGTGTGACTGAGCGAGCATCATGGAATCTACAATGATTTTGCAGTCACCAGATAGATTTGTCAATGTGTGTCAGATTATATGCACACACTCTCGTTAGTTGTGCCATGCACGACCCTGTTTTGGGAAACAAATCTTGCAATTTGGCAACCTGAAAATCTTGGAAAGCAATTTAAGTGGGCACTTTGACAGCTCCTGCAGTTCCTTCTTGAAGGGAGACACATGAAATTGCATTGTTCAAAAGACCCGCATACGATATAGTACTTCTTTGACTCCTAGGCCGTCTTCCTTGGTGGCAAAAGCTGGAATGTCCATCGCTAAGATCCTTCTCAAACTGGCCTTGCAGGACAGTGTAGCTGCTTCCGACAATTGAGGGCATGCAATAAAGATCAAAGGTCAGAAGTGCAGCACATCCAAGTGTAGACCACAACTCACAACAGAAAGAGGTTACTTGCTAACTGGATTCAAGTCTTTTTGCAGGAAACTGACTCTTCAAAGAAGCAGCAGATGGAGGCTTGTGCAAGAATTCCAGTCAAGAAGACCAGATGACACCAGATGACTGTGTTTTTGAATGCTTCAGTTCTCAGTTGTTATTTATATTTGTTTGCCAGATGATTCCATGCTGGTCCCCTTCTTGTCTCCTGGCTAGGTGACCGTCACGACATGGCTGCTTGCTTTGTTCCCTTTCTTGTCTCCCGAACTGGCGACATGAAACGTTGCTTGCGTCCCCGTTTGACGTGGCATGTTTCCCCACTGGGGCAACCAAACGCTTGTTGCAAACAAAATTATTCCCGAACAGTGTAGTCACACTAGGGCTATAGGGGTTCTTGCAGTAAGTGTTAAGGCTGGGTTTGGTCGAGGGTGCTCACGACTGGCAGCTGTGAATTCGCTGCTATTTACGGTACAGTCATGCCTCTGAAGATCTTCGAAGTGCATTTCAACTGCGCGGGTCGCAAAAACTGGCCCAAGTGGGCGCTTTCTTCGACTGCACGCTTGCTGCGGCGCCGTGGACGTTTTCGGGTTCGGTGATCACTTTTCGTGACAGGCATGAGGGACGCCTCTTGTTTTGGTGGATTGAAGTCAGGCGCAGGCGGTCGGACCCGTTTCACTTCGACATCCAGATTTTGTGAGGGGCGCAGCACTTTGGACTTGGCGGTGGCCTTTGAACTTTGGACATGTGGCTCATTTTCAGAATTTTGTGAAGCACACGGCGCGTTTTCAACTTGGCATGGCAGGGCTGCGCAGCATGAACATCTTGATGCGCAGATTTCATTGCTCATTGCAGGCGCCGTGCTTTGAGAACCTCAAAGTGCAGACCTTGTGGCAGGCACGCCCCTTTGTGAACCTGCAAATGCAGATTTCGTGGCACGCACAGCGATTTGAAAACCTCAAAGTTCAGGCTTTGTGGCATGTTGACTCCCTGGCGCGCGTCCTGGCCAACGAAGACCGCGCGCCAGGGAGGTGAAAAGGTACCTGCTATTGTTAAACTGTTGATTGGTTGCTGTGGTCCCTTGGTTTGTTTCATGGCGGTTCATGTACCTGATGTTGGACCCCACTCCATTCCCTTGAGGATTTGAGGATTTCAGGTTCTTGGCTATCCTGTCCTCTTAGGTTTTTCACTTAGGCCGGCGCGTGGCAAACCGCAGCCGAATCAGTACGCATGTCAATAAGTGTGTGTGTGTGTGTCACCCTTGGAGTCATAGGGATGCTTTTGCAGTTGTTC